TAACAGTTCCCCATTCCATTTTTAAATTACCGGAGGCGACGCTCTAATTATAGCAAATTCGTTTAAAATTAATATAGATCTTGTCTAGAAGCGCGGGAGGGCGGTGCAAGTGATTTGGCCAAACGAAAGCAAAGCCTAACATATTCTAGAATGTTTAAAATGGCATAATTTATCTAATTTAGTCGGCAGTGATTTCTATTGCGGATCCCGATAATTTGAACGTATATCTTTGTAACAACTTTAATTTACTTGCTTGCAATCAAACAAGATAAATTACAGTGAAGATTTAGTTATTTTGTGTCTTTGTTTTCTATTTCGATAAGAATTTCAATAAGATTATTTAATTAGTGATCAAGAGTAAGATTTGTCAATAGTATTATCTTAGTGACTGAAATACTTTTTCTACTATGCTTCCCATTTTCGAGATATAAATAATCCAATGGTTTACATTTATTTTTTACGTGTTACATATTACGCTATCCATGACAGACAGATGTAATGAAACATTTTGTGGCAGAATGACCCTAACACTATTGATTCATGTTGGGTTCTAATGTGTTCTTTATGAAGACATTACCATAGATGTGGGGATATTTTTTGCTTAGTTTATTACAACTTGGATTGGTGTGGACATAAGGGGCCTGCACCCAGGATTTTAAGTAGATTGTATGTATGCACTATAAATATCTAGATGTCTTACCTTTTTCCTATAGTTATCCATTCATAAAGACTTTGTTTGTTGCTCGATAGGTTTTGCTGGTTGCAAAACTATAACTATTCCTTCAGTTCCGTTGATTCGTTGCTTTTGACTCTCACTCGGACTTTAATCGTTACTGCTACTGCTACCGATACCGTTAATTTAATCCATACCCTAGTAACAGATGCTGTTACTGTTACTTATAGTATCTTGTTGTTATTGCAGTCGTTGTTGTTGGTATTTTCTTTGTTTGTGAGGAAAGCAGACGCAACAGCGACGACGCTTTCCCGCAGGACTATTTCCCATCATTTTTTGGAGGAACCTGCAAATTTTCCTCAGGAGTTTTTTATATCTCCGATTCCGTTTTCGCCTTCTTCGTCTTGTTTTCCCCTGTTCATATGGGTTAACAGTTTTTTAGTGGCATTTCTAACTGTTGTTGCTGTTGGAGTTCTTCGTTTATTTAATGATTTGCCGACTTCCTTATTTTTTTTCTCTGTAACAATTTCTTTTTAATGCATTCTTTTGATGTTCTTTCCTCTTCCTCTTCTCCTCGGTTCCTTGTTGTTGCTGTTTTGTAAATGGACGTTTTGTTGTTGTTTGGCTTACTTTTGATATGTGTGTTTGTTTTGTTTTAATCGATGCTTGTTTAGTGGCCTATCTTCGTTGTTTTTGGTTATTTATTGTACGCGAGAGCTTAGTATATTTAACTTCCTGCTCTTATTGTATTTTGTCTGTCCTTTTTGGCTGTTGCTGCTTCTTCCCCATTTCGCTTTCCTTTGCTGCCTTTGCTTCCCGTCTTCTTTGGCAGTCAGCTGTGATTGACAGAGAGAGAGAAAGCGGGGAAAGAGAATTTTTCGCTCTCTTTGCGCAAACTCTTTGACGTTGGTGTTGTACAATGCAATAATATAATGTCCTATAATGGACGACGTTTATCAATTTGTCCTGTCATCGCCAGAATAAAATTGCACATAAACCGAAATAATGGAACTGTAATACGTATTTCCATTGGATTATAAATTTGAAGTCAAAGTGTTTTTACTATTAGCCACTTTTTACAGTTATGTATATGTATGTATGACATTGGGCGCGCGATTTTTACCGTTATTTTTCTTAACAAGCGATGACTCCAGCACTTTTTTACCAGGGGAAAACTTTAACTATCTGTAGCGCACCTTGGTGTATTATTCACACGAATGGTAGTATTTAATGTGGGCAAAAAAAAAACAAAACTTATTTCGACAGATCCGCGCAGCTACAAGTCTTCTTTTGCACAACTTTTACGCTCTGCCTTTTGTTACGCTGTTTCTTTTTGTTCCCATTCAGGTTTTGGTTTTTTTTTCGCCCATGTTGTTGTTTTTTCGGGGTTGTTTTCTCTCACTAACTCTCTCTTGCGGTTTCTCTCTCAGCTGTCAAGCTTTGCAACCCCTGGAATTCACAGTTTTACCAGCAGTGCAAAAAAAGAAAAACAGTTTGAGAGCAACTCAACCCAGCTTGTTGTTTTTGTTGTTTGTTTTGCTTGTCTTTCCGGCACTTTGCAACACTGCCACGTGCCATGTGCTCGCATTCCACACCCCTCTTTCATTGGGGTTTATTTGCACCACCAAACCCCCTTCGGAAATCCCTAATTGGCCGCGTTGAGGCATTCCAAAGTGTTCTCATGTTTATATTTCTGCTTTTTAATGCATAGTTAATGCGATAGGGGTCGAAAATCAGACGTTGGGGCCTGGGTTTGGAGCCCTTTTTTCAGTCAACACCCATTTGTCCTCGGGCGACAGCTTGTCCTGACTGGAGTACTAGGCAAACCAGTGGGTGGCAGTCTCACCTCTGACCTTGACTGGTTATGGGTTGCCAAAAAGTTTACCCAAGGGTGGGATTTCGCTTTTAAACGCACTCTAGATAAGGATTCCAGGATAACTTAATACAATCTATACAATAGACAACAATACTGTACATTTTGTATGTGATAATCCTATTTTTAGTATTTGCCTTATATAACCAAAGGATGTTTAAAGCTTCGATGATGAAAGATTCATTTTTAACGGACTTTAGGATAAGCCACACAGCTAAATTAGTTCTATACCAAGTAATAGATAGCGAATAAGACTCTTCTGAATTATCTTTAGTTTAACTGATAATTTTCATTGTTGATGTGGTAATAAAGAAGTAATTGATATCTTTACCTAAGATCTTTGACTAAATAATGAAGCTCCATTTGAAGCTCAATTCAGTTTCGCCCAATCGGGGTTTCTTAGAGAACACAATTCAGACTGTCAATCATAAAGAAATCTGAAAGCATGATTAGGTTCTTCATTGTTCCGTAAACCATAACCAATCTATTAATCATTTGGGGAAGTTCCATTTTGATCGCTTGCTGCCACCAAGAAGCCGCCCTCATAAACTTGCGTAATGTTCACAACTTTCCACCCACTTGGTCCAACAACGGCCCGTCGTAATAGTTCTAATGAGCTAACCCATTTTAAAGCCCTGCCACGACAAATTGAAGCATAAGTAATGAGGCTGTTAACGGTATGGTGTGGCCCCCAAAAAAAGCGAAGGGTTGCCGGCAAATTAAGAGGGGGCAAGGCAAACCAAGGCAGATGTGGGAAATCGTGTACATTTTGGGGTGGCTATTGCCGTTTTAGCCCGCCCTTTTAGCTAGTTAACATCCACGTGTTTGTACATGAATTTAATCTCGGCGCAAACAAAGTAACAAGAATTCAATTTGTCACAGTGGTTGGACCCGCTTCGTTCGGTTTCTGTTCCGGGTTTTGCACTACGGGTTTTGGCCTTCTCTCTCCGGGGAAGGGAACACAAAGCCAACCGGATCCGGGAATTCGGAGAGGTGGCCAAGGAACCAGGGCAAACATCGCCTGGCAACCGTAGCTTAGAGAGATAAACCCATGGCCAAGGGAATGGGTGCATCAAAAGCACTGGGAGAAATGCGTGAGTCAAGAATGTGTTAACTGATTGTAGGTGATTTTTTAACAAATCGTGTTTTCAATCGTGACTGATCCTATTGGATGTCATTTATAATGCCCCTTACAATTTTCAGCTTTTAGTTTTTCTTCAAGTTTAGCTTTGGAAGTGCCCAAATACTACCACTTTTTCTGGTCAGTGTAGCAGCAGAGTATTGAAAAGCGAGGGAGGTGGTGTAAATATTTGCATTTCGCTTGTTTTTTGGGGTGTTGCGTTAGGCAAAGCCAAAAGCCCCTGGGGACTTGTTAATGCAAACAATGCGCATTTGATATTGAAAGCATCGACGGAAGGAGCAGGGGCAGAATCAGGTACTCGGGAAGGGGCATGCCACAGCCTGTGTCCTCGGCCTGCTAGGGGTAGTTTGCAAAGGGGGCCAAAACGGAGTGTGGCAAAGCTCCGCTCCGCTTTCAGCCGCACGAACTCCAACGCAGGCCTGCATTAATGTGTACTTCCGGGGGAGCAATGGGTGCTACGAGGGGTACTGAACGGAGGTCTATTTATGTTTTGTGTTCCGAGCACACGCTGAACCACCCACCCCCCTCTTGCCTTCCACAGAAAATAAATGCACTCAAAAAAAAAGTAGAGTCAACATTTTTCATGAACCTTGTGGATTTAACAACCGCAACCGATTTTTTCGATATTTCAATGATGCAACCCCTTTCTTAATTTTCGGAAATTGGATTTGCTATAAAGTGACCTAAATCTTGTACTTCTAAGCCTACAACTTTTCTATCTGAAGTCCGATTTTAAAATGGTATATATTACAAAGCTTGTGGACAGATTTCCTATAAATCTGCATTAACAACTTCCTTTTTAATTTTGAGTAGATTTTTTTACTTTTCCATGAAGTCACCCCTTTCCAAATTTTCGAAAAATTGTCTTTTAAAAAAGTGACCTAAATCATGCACTTCTAAGCTCATAACTTTCTTATCTGAAGTCCGATCTAGTATTGCCTAACTCTGCATTCACACATTTATACTTAAATCAAATAATTTACAATTTTTCGCCAAGGTTATTATACGTCTAGTTTCAAAGATTTTCGTCGAGTGTCAGTCTGTCGTTTAAGCTGGTTTTTGGTCCGGTAAATGTTGTGGCCCACAGCTGTTGGTGTCCCCTGCCCAAGAAATAACCCAGTAGTAACAGTTACTCCACCCCTGCTTAAAAAACCATTGTCATTTAAATATCTGGACAAACCGCCTTTAAAGAGCCTTCCAAAGATGCGGCCTTTGTCTGGGATAATCTGGCTCTAATATCTGCTCACCCTTGTTTTAATTTCACCACCCATAAGGATATACGGATAAGAAGCACCAGTCATTTAATGGCTTACCTTATCTTCGGCTTCCTCGGCGCGTTCTTCCGCTTCGATGACGCGCTGTTCCAGCTCCGTTAGCTGCAAGTAGAAAGGAAAACCCAGGAACTTGGTTAGAACTTGGTTACTTAAACGGCGGAAATCATGTGAAAACAAGCGAGTGCCCGAGTCTGACAGTCAATATGCAGCCAGACATACGGCTTATTGTTTAAGGGGAAGGGAGGATCATTTATTTCTTATCTCAAGTGTTAATTACATGATTTCTACACGGCTAAACATTAACTAAAGGGGTTTTAATGGGAGTTTAGGGGTGTTTTTCATTGTTTTCACTTATTACCCCATTCAAAATATGGATTGTAAAATAAATTTGTATTTATTTTTGTCTCAAAAGTTTGTTACATACTTTCAAGTTAAGTCACGTTGAAGAAATATATTATATAAATGCTTTTATATATTTCTTTACCAGGTTTTATGTCTAGTATTAACTGCTGTTAAATTTTGTACATGTTACTAAAAAACAGCACAAATTGGAAAGTCTCTTCAATGTCTCAAGTGTCAATAGCATACTAAGCCAAAAATTAACTTAAATTATCTTTTCTGGGATTTTTGTAACTAGCTATGGTTTTTAATCGTTGCCCCACAAAAAAACCCTAAAAAAAATATATTTAAATATGGATTTATAACATAACTTACATTTTACTTACACAGCTGATACAACAACCCAATGTGTTCAGTTAGCTGGTACAAAAATCTACAAGTTATTCACCTTAGCGGAGACTCTCACCCTACTGAAAAGGACTTCCCAGTATTTCTTGATTTTGGTGTGGTGAATTGCGCTTGAATCGCCCACAGATGGCGCTGGTCGTGCCATTTGGAGGGATTCTTATATCTTTTGGGGAGGTTTCTTCATCCTCTTTCTGAAGACTCCCTCCTGAAAATCAACCAGCCCCTCTATTTGCACAGCCAATCCATCCATCAATGAATCAATCATGGGAAATGACACACAATTTGCGGTTAATAAGGATAATGCTCTCTGGCTAATACAATTCATGACGCTGGGATCTCAATGCCTGCACCTGCTATTATTATAATGTCGGAAACTGGGGCACTAATCCCGCGCTTTTTACTGCTCAATGGCCTGTCATTAACAAAGGTTAAAAGACGGTCTAGTCTCTTGAAGAGCCTTGGAATTCGTTTCCAATTAATCACCCAAGTGGCCTGAAGGACCGCGCAAAAAAGGAGGCAAAGTGGAGATGCAGGGGAGGCGTAAAAGAAGCTGGTTAAACGCCGCTAAGGATAATACTTGAACCGCATTCGAACTCTCGTCTATTTTGAATGCCTTAAGTGCATTAATTTCCGCTTTTTATGCCATTCAAGTGGCCACTCTGGGCGTGGCATTCAGTGATTGATGGCTGTTAAATTGTTGTGCGAAATATGAAAGGGACCCCTGTGCTTCCCCTTCCCCTTTTTGCCAAATCAATGATGAATGGAGTAGCGGAAGTGGCAGGATGCTTCCGAAGTGTCAGCTTGACTTGTCGGGAATGGAAACGTGGGTTTGATTTCATATCTCACTTTCAGTTACGTTGGACTTAGCCTTTGCTAAGCACTTTAGGAATTTAAAGGGGAATCGAACTGCGTTCCCCAAACAATCTTCGGAATAAATGCCATCATTGATGCTAATTTTAGTTCAATTTTGCTTAAAAACTAATTTTGAAATCAAAACGATCAACGAATAAACCTACTTTTAAGTTCACTTCATATATTATGGATGAACAAATGTATAAATAATAAAGATTTACAGTGCCTACTAAATTGAATAATCTATTTAATGGGCATTTACAACAAATGAACGAGCAGGCATTATCTCATGAGCCAGTGGTACCTGGCTGCGTCATCTCTTTGGCCAAAAACAGATGTGCGATTCTTAGGGAAATCAACATAAAACCGGAGAAAACTTCGGCTTAGTCGCCCAGAACAAAATGTGTTCCAATCTGGGCGACTTGTTCGCCTGCATCCGGGCACAGGGAGATTCGGATGCGGACACCACCAGCACCACCCACCAGCGGAGTAACGCGGACGTGGACGATGAGGCACTCGATCCTCGAAGCGATTTATTTAGGCGGCAGCAAAGGAAGGGTCACCGAAAGAGGGATGAGAAGTCCCCACGACAGGACGCATTTCCGGCTGCGTCTCCTTCGGCCGGGTGCCATCGACCCCCTTCGCGGAACTCACGGGTCTCCTACGAAGTTTTGGAACGCTACGATCAAATCTGTGGCGGTTCTCTCCAAGAGGAGCTCGGAGTTTCTAGATTAAGCAGACACATTCCCGATCAGTTCTAGGCGGAGATTATTATAAATCATTTTTTCCCCACAGCGGTGTTTATTTAAGTATAAACAGACAAACTTAAACAATTGGTTAAGGTCTCCAGTTAAATTAAAAGTTTACTTATTCAGAAATGCAAATCGAAAGTGTTTTTTCAAACGGTTTAAAAATACAGAAAGGTATCGTTTTTTTTTTAATATGAAACAATAAATATGGACAATAAACTAATACGATTTAAATTTGAAGGTAAAACTAAATTTTCAATCCATAACTACAAATAATAAATAATATCTTTATTTCACTTTGTCTATAGCTTAAGTTTCATGCGAAGACTGTCTAGCCTTTACTGAGTATAAAAAAACTTTAACTTTGTGTTGTTTCTTGTGAGGATGGGAAAATCCCGAGGGATGAGTATATTGGGCTGCAAAAGTTAGTCAAACTAATGGATTATACGAAAAGCTTGGAATGCAGAAAGTTGGGCTCGACTTGCGTGCGTGAAAAGATTGCCGGGGTTTTGCCGCATTCCCTTCCTTTCCCATTAACCCTCATCGATATACCTGTGTTTAATCAGAGGCGTTTTGGCTTGCCAATTGGCGACTTAATTGGAAGGAAAGGAAATAACAGTGAGCGGCCTTAAGCAGAAACATTTGGCATTAATTGCCGGGGGCGTAGCAAGTAGCAAGTAGCAAGGGGGCTTACTGTTTCTCAGACACTTCAGACTTCAGACTTTAACAAACAACTTTTACAACTTTGTGCCACACAGTCGCAACAACAACGGGAGCGGCAAAATCACACGGAAAATGTAATTTCGCAGCCACGAATGCAATTCCCGCAAACAAATGGCTCACAATGGGTGCAGTTAACCCCCGAAACCCCCTGCTTAACCCCATCCGCCGAAGGAGGTGACTTTGGCCATTAGTCGGTTTAGGTGTCGTTTGCCGCGCTGCTGCAAAGTTGCCAACGAATGCCGCACTAAAAGTTGTCTTTCTCTCGATTGCAAAATAGATGTTCATGGGGAGTGTATAACGCTAGAGGGGAGGGGATGCCCAGATCTTGATGGCTTGCAATAGCTGTGGTTAAGAGCGTAAAAGGGTTCCTGCCCATTCACCTTTAACCGATTGGGAATTGCTTTGGTTCAAATTACTTTTTTAAAAGGGGCATGCTGGTGCATACCATTTAATTGAAACATTTTTTATCCAGAAGAAAAGTCCTATTTGCAATGAGCTGGAAATGTTTAACGCGTAATATGGTCTATATAGTTTCATTTATTTGTACTGTACCGTATACATTAAAATATTACGTATACGTACTGTACTGAATATAAAAAAATATTACGTATCCGTACTGTACTGAATATAGAAAAATATTACGTATACGTACTGTACTGAATATAGAAAAATATTACGTATACGTAATAGTTGCCAATCATAGAAAACATATATAAGTGTTTAAAAACTACATATAAGATGCTGGCGAGTATAAGATAAGTGAGACTATGTAATGTACAGTAAAACATTACGTATACGTACAGTAAAACATTACGTATACGTACAGTAAAACATTACGTATACGTACAGTAAAACATTACGTATACGTACAGTAAAACATTACGTATACGTACAGTAAAACATTACGTATACGTACAGTAAAACATTACGTATACGTACAGTAAACATTACGCATACGTACAGTACACCATTACGTATACGTACAGTAAAACATTACGTATACGTACAGTAAAACATTACGTATACGTCAACGTTCCCCATGATCCCGCACTCACATCCAAATCGAAATCCAAACAGTATTGGCTTAATGTTATTTATTTTTGACTTCTGCAAACATAACATGATACAACCAAGTAATCCTATACCAATTTAACCTATCGTATCACAGCCTTTGTCCGACCATTTAGCCGCACTCTCCATGGATGACTTGTGGATTTGTTATTACGTCCATTTTTATTTGGCTTTCAACTCAACTCATATGTGTTTTGTCTCCTCATTTGGGTTTTGTTTTGATTGCAAAAAGTTAATTAAAAATTTGTTGTAATTGAATTTTATTGCATTGTTTGTTTGCATTTTGTTTTGTTCAATTTTTTTTCGCAATGCTTTGTTCGAGTTTTGTTTGAGTTGTTCTATTTTTTGCTGGCCTTTTTGTTGTCTGGCCATTATGCCATTTGTTGTCATTTGGTTTTTGCCTTTGGCCGTAATTGGATTATGGAAAAAAGAGTTTTAATTAAACCAAATGAAGCGGACCGGCGGCGAGCGGGGATCGAATCAGATGATAAACTCCGGGAGTCGGGGATCGTCGAAGCCGTAGCCATCATCGCATTCCTGTTCGGGAGCCCAGGGATTGCGGACGATTTCGAAGGTCAGGGGCGGCGGCAGTGGGAGTACGACCTTCACCTTCACTGGCTTTGGCGGTGTTTCATTTATCGCGGGAGTGGAAGGAAACTCCATCATTCCATCGCCACCGAGTCGCCGGCAGTCGAAGAGATCAACCAAAAAGCCCAGAAACATCCCCACCACTCAACTGATTTCGAAGCACTGACCATATCGCAGGGTTTCCGGATAATACACCCACCCAATTGACGTCCACAAGTCCACGCCCCACAATCCACAAATCGACAGCACAGCTGCGTTCGCAGCTGAATTAAGTAATCAAAATTCACAAATGGATGGATTACCAATCCTATCCGCACCACTCCCCCCGCAAGTCCCTCATCGATGTAAAAAGCAAATGACAAAATTAATTAAAATTAAAATTAAATGTCGCTCGTTTGGCGTTGATTAAGGAATGCTATCATGCATTATGCATAATACATTATATCATATTTACTACATCGGCATTACGTAACCCACCGTTCATATAGACGCGCATTTATGTACTTATGCATTTATATTTGTTTCTGTATAGAATGCACATTATAATTACATTCATGCCCGACCATAAAATTCAATGGGGCTAAAACATTTGCATAACGAATGCAACGACCCCCTTTTTCCACACCCCTGCCCATTGATTAAAGCACAGTAAAGATGCAAAATAGTTGAGTTTTTTAAGAATGTTTTGAATACTCTTTAGTTTTTAGTTAGTTATCTAATCTGGATATAGAGAATTAAACAAATTATTTAGAAGTATGACACTTTTAAACCTATTTTTAGAGAACTAAACCACAATCATTTTGAGGTATGACACTTTAAAATCGGATGTCGGTAAGAAAAGTTATTTGCTTGGAACTGCTGTTTTTTTTGCCACTTTTCTGCAAACCAATTTTTTGAAAATTTTGGAATGGGGTTACATTGTTGAAAATTACGAAAAAACGACACAAAAATAATAACTAAAGTGAAAACACAGTAATATCTCTAGTAAGAGTATAATGCATAGCAAATGGCGCGTAGCAGGTCCAACAATTCAATATTTTTCATTTTCCTTGCGTTTTTTTTTTTAATTGTTGTCTGTCTCGCTCTTGCCATATCGCCTTATCGCTGTCCTGCTCGCCCGACGCCTGGCCTAACGGTTAATTTAATTACGGCACGAGAGAGTAAGACAGAGTGAGGAGGGGACAAGGACATGTACCCTGCAATGACAAAAACAATTTGCAATCTTTTAATCAGACCCACTCACTCTTCCGCTCTGTCCCTTTCCAACATCACACTTTTCAACAAGCTGAAGAAGAAGAAGCAGCTGCAGTTGAGGAAGACAAATGAAGGCCATTGCTCCACTTCCACAAGTCTTTTGGGAGGAATTTCACTCCACATTTCACACTTTATGGTTTCCATTTGTTAATATTCAGTTGGTAGCATTATTAAAAGAAATATGATGTCAAAATGTTATACATTAACTGTACTTCTTCAATATAGATTTCCATATACGACTTTCAGTTCCAATATTTATTTTCAACTTTTGAGCTAGTAATGATCCCCACTTCTTTTCTTTAAAAATAATCAATTCTTTATAATATGTCTGCATTATTATTCTGCTCTTTTTGCTGTTTGGCTTTTTCCTGCCCCTGATGAAGCTTTATTGGCATTTTCTTTGGTATTTAAGTCGTACGTTCCTTTGTTTCTCGATTCATTTTGTTAACTTTTTTAAAGGTTTTTAAAGTTAAAAACTCTTTCATACATTTATATACGTGCCAGATAAAACGACTTTTTTGTTATGATCATAAAACTTTCAACCAGATCCAGACTGCCATGAGTAAATTTTCAACAATTTGAAAAGATGGTAGATATCTCATAGTCTAGGGATTTTTCGTGTTTTTTTCAGCTTTAAAAATGCTTAAATATTTGCATGCACTTGAGTGTCTAGCAGTCGCTTTACTTGAATTTATGGTTTCTACTTGGCTCTTGGTCTCTGCTCTTTTGCATTGTGCATAATTAAGAGATAGTAACTGGTGCGTGCTAAGCGTGTACCTCCGCCTACTTTTCCCCCGCTTTTCCCCGTCACTTGCTTAATGGAGCTCCATATTAATTGCCCAGCATTAAGGTTTAAAGCCCCTTCCACAGGGGGGAAAGTGGCGCAGATAATACTTTGCAGAATGGCCAGCACAAGCAAGTTGTGCAAAAAAAAGTTGGAGTGCGAGGAAGGGAGATGAAAAGCAGGTCAACTACGACTGCTACTGCCAAATTCATGTCAATTGCATGAAGGCCAGGCCCATACGCACCGTGGCCCCCTAGACGCTCTCCATTCGCCTTTGCGCTTTCCTTTTTTTGGCTTTAGGTCAAGTGGAAAGAACAACCACCACGACAAGAATAACCACAACATGAAAAAGTAGGTTAACATGGGTTAAGGTGTGTCATTAACTTGCCACAAACACACACAGAAGGTTAGGCCCTGCGGCAATTTCCATTTCTTGCTGAATCTTTCCTCCACACGCATGCACAGCTAAAAATATGTATGAACTATTGCTAAAACTTGGATCAAATCAATACATTAGTGAGTAAAACGACCATTTCCACGAAATGCTCAAATAAGTACTTAACCGTAGGGTTAAAAAAGAGAACGAAAGCAAACGTTTTAAATACCCTTTTGCAGTCTTAACGAAAATTAACAAGTCTCAAACATTGGAATGCCCTCTGCAAGGGTATACAAAACAAAATAAACATATTGTATTGTGTAAATACTTAACACAAAAGCTATACTATTTCTCTTTAAAACATAAATTATTCGTGATTAAAAATGCCATAGCTGACTGCAATAACAATAAAAAATTTTGTATCATTGTTTATGTGTAGAACCCCAGAAGCAGATTTGCAATCCTTATTTGTCGGAATACAGCAGGCGTGATGACTTTGAAGGGATATTTCACCACTGCCGTCGGCGGCTGCTCATTACGGATAATGTGCCAAGGGCGGATGTTGTACTTGCACCTGCACCTCCACCTGACTGAACTAATTAGCAGCTTGGCGGCAAAGGCAGCTTAAGGCGGCTGCATCCTGCAGCAATGTTCCATCTAAATTGACACAAATTGGCAAGAGGTAAGAACATCATGGCAATCAGATTAGACGATGTCGTCATCGCATCATGTGCGATGTGTCTTTTCCCTTGCTTTCCTTTTTCCAATACACCCACAACCCCCCAAAACCCCCACCGCCTTCTTTTTTCCGCTCCAGAAGAAAAACCAGAGGCAAAGGCAGCTACGCAACGTTTTTGCTGCTGATTTTAATCATGACGCACGGATTAGGACTCAGGACTCAGGTTAAAGATTAACAATGCCAAAAGCGAGCGAAAGGCAAGGACAAGACAGGATCCCAAAAAGGATGCTCAGCTAGTTAGAAAAAAACATTTGCTCACGTCACGCCCACTATTAGTTAGAACGCTCCTGACGGATGGAATGGATTGGTTGGGACCGTGAAGTGGAAGAAACATAAGATAGGATAAGCCGATTGTGAACAGGGAGTGCACTAAAGGCAGTGCAGAATCAAGATCAAAGGGGGCCAACTTTAAGGATAAGTGTGGAAAATATTTCAAGAAGAAGGTACTAGTATATGACAAATAAAATAATAACATATAATTATAATAAGCCATAGTCGAAGATGAACACTTACCATTCTTATCAAATATTCTCCCTTAATGAAATTTTTTTTTTTTTCGAGATTAAAATTTTTTTTTTTCATTTTGAAATAATAACGCTTACCATTCTTACCTTAATAGAATCTATTTTTTTTTTCGAGATTAAATTTTTTTTTATTTAATTGTTACTAACTGGGTAAATACTAAACAGAAAAATGAATTATGTCAGCAGCACATAATAAATATAAACTATAGAAAAATTATATAAATTGAGCCTAAGGATATGCGAGACATTTAAGTATAGCATTGCTGGTAATCATTATATAAGAAATCTTAGAAGAGCGGTTTAAACACCTCTCAAGTTGAGTGCATTATGTGTGTAAAAAGTTAGATGAACGCACTCAAAAACCAAGTGGCATATGAAAAGAATAGGAGGAACGATTATGGCTGGCGAGATATCCCAAAGCTATTACCAGTTGATAGCGTCTGAAGGATTCAACCCAACTCGAGATAAGGACAACAAAGACAGTCGGGGAATAACAATTAGTGCATACTTTTAGGCACTAGGAGAAAATAAAAAACGAAGACAGACACAAAGAAAGGAGCTGAAAAAAGCTCGAGTCCGCGCAATAATCACAGCCAAGTGCTGCATATTTATAGGCGCAATCAAGTTAATTGCACAAACAGCAGCACCAGATAACACAACAAAGGAAAAGGACTTCGACTACCTTCTTCATACTAATTAACTTAATTGTGGGCAGTTAGACGAGTGCTTGTGGCTCCTCTCCACGCTAAAAGTAATTGGCACTCAAAAGTTGAATGCGTTCATCGGGAAATATTCATCTACATTTCGTCCAAATAATATTTGCCTAGCTGGCAAACTTTTGCGGCCACTTGAAGGAATATTATGCGGAAAATAACTTGAGCTCGATTCATGATTTTTACTTAGAAGTTGCACGGGAAATACACTGAGAAAGTCGTTATAGCCATGTTGGCATTACAAATGAACTTGAAATTTGTCTTTAACGTTCTTTAATGTCTTTGAAATTAGCAAAACCGAATTAATGAGAAAAGTGCGGTGGTGAACAAGAGGTCCGGCAAAGCTCTCAACAAATCTCTTAATGCTGAGTCCAATCCTGTTGGAGTATTTTCATTTCCATTTCAATTTCAATTTTCAGTTGGTTTTTTTCGGTTGAGGGACTTTGTTCTTTCCCATCGCTCCATGCATTCTATTCTGGAAGAGGACTTGCTCCTTTTTCCTAGTCCGCCGCTCTGTGGTGAGTTTCAATGATCCTTGTTAGAGCTTCTATTGCTTGCATTTTCATTTTCATTCCCTTTCTCATTTCAGACTTTCCCTGTATTTCATTTTTAGTTTTATGCATGAGACGCTGCTTAGTTTTTCAGTCGGAAACCCATGCCTATTCCGCTGCTGTTCATTCCCCATCTCAATCCCATTTTTTTCGCCTTCCTGCTCCGGTCCTTCACTTCATCTTCTTCTTTGGCC